TGCATTTACAAATTTTTTTTTTCCTCAAGCTGTGGTCTACTAAGTGCTGGTAGTCTTTAAGAAAAAGGGTCCATGTAACAGTTTTGTTAAGGCCTGCTATAGGCATTTTTTGCTACTGCCCTTAAAGATATGGGACCTTTTGAAGCTTGTATGGTAACTAAAGGACTGTGACATTGTCAAATTGCTAAACTATACCACTTTACATATAATATTTATCTGCAGTTATGGGTTCTTTCATTAATGTTCAATTTTTGAAGTCTGCAGTTAAACTCATCTAGCTTGACCATGATCTTCAGGATTGTCTTTCTAAAACGTGTAATTTTTTTAGCTGGAACTGGTAGGTTCAACTGGCTGAACTAAAATATCAGTCAGGGATTTTATTTATGGTCTGAAAGTGGATGCTCATTTGTTTAATGTGATTGAACTTTGCTTGTCGATCCATGTTCTGACTTTCTGTATATTTTGTCCAGGAATAGTTTTAGGTGCTATCAGCACATTTGTGGCAAACTAGGTGGAATGTCATTGTTTTTGAAGTACAGGAAAACATTTTTCAACTCTTTAGATGTGTTGTGCCGGTAGGAAACATGGGATGGAGCTGAAAATCACTGTGAGCCAACAGTGGACGAGATAAGATTAAGCGACAAATCACTAAAGTATGGAAACAAAGTGTCATGGTTTAACCCCAGCAGGCAACTGAGCACCACACAGCTGCTTACTCACTCTGCCCCGGTGGGATGGGGGAGAGAATCAGAAGAGTAAAAGTAAGAAAACTCGTGGGTCGAGACAAAGACAGTTTAATAGGTAAAGCAAAAGCCGTGCATGCAAGCAAAGCAAAACAAGGAATTTATTCACTGCTTCCCATCAGCAGGCAGGTGTTCAGCCACCTCCAGGGAAGCAGGGCTCCATCATGTGTAACAGTTACTTGGGAAGAAAAACACCATCACTCCAAACATCCCCCCCTCCCTTCTTCTTCCCCCAGCTTTTTATTGCTAAGCATGACATCATATGGTATGGAATATCCCTTCGGTCAGTTTGGGTCAGCTGTCCCAGCTGTGTCCCCTTCCGACTTCTTGTGCACCCCCAGCCTACTCTCTGCTGGGGTGGTGTGAGAAGCAGAGAAGGCCTTGACTCTGTGTAAGCACTGCTCAGCAGTACCTAAAACATCCCTGTGTTATCAACAATGTTTTCAGCACAAATCCAAGACATAGCTCCATACTAGCTACTGTAAAGAAAATTAACTCTACGCCAGCCAAAACCAGCACACAAAGGAAGTGAAGTAGCTCAATTTCTCATTTCCTTTTCTTCTTTTGCAAAAATGTCAGAATGATAAATGCCAAGCAATAATGAAAAATGCTCATAAGATCTCATTTTAACTCTGTTGAGAGCAAACCATGAAGGCACTATCAGTGTTTCTCCCAGTGAAGAGAGCTTGCCACAGAACTTACCATCATCATCATTGCCATAAACTAATACTAGGGCTGGTGAGCTCAACAGAAAAGCTCATGACAGAGTAACCTGAAAATGTGAGCGACAGTGACATCTTGTCAGTGTTTGAAATGGGACAATATGCATTCCCATGTCAGTGCTTTTTGTATTTCTACATATTTTGAAAATCATTGTAGCCATGATGTTATGGAGGGAAGGGAATGTTACAGCCTCTGAGATCTTTCTGAGAGCTGTTGCCTCCTGCTGAGTTCCTGCATGCTCTGGTCTCACCATCAGCCCTCACAGCCCAATGTTGGCTTGCCTCTGTGAGTGGTAAGGCTCACTGTTTCATAGATCCCCCGTTAAGTTCAGAGCTCAGCAGCAATCACCTATAAGCAGAGGAAGCTCTTAATTTGCCAAATCCTCATTTGAATCCCTCAAAGGCTGATGTGGAAACCATACTTCAGGCTTATGGCTTCAGGAGCCATATACAGTGGTATTTCCAGGCAAGACACAACACCACACTAAAAGTACAGTTAATATCAGTACTTTTGTGATTGTTTATAAACACACTGCTTGGTTCATCAGGCTGTTGCTTTTTGGGATAATAATCCAGAAAATAAAAAATAGACAAGAGTAGAGATGACAATGAAACACAGAAAAACTGTTCAGAATGACACAGGGATTCTGACATTTGAATCCCACCAAAAGACAGAGCTAAATTTTTAATGCCAAAGACTGCAGTGACTCTGCAAAGTCTGTTAAATTTCCTTTAAATGTTTCTGCTCTTGAAGCGACTCTGTAATGAATCTTGATGACTCAGTGAGGCAGATGTAGCCAAAAAATGCTTATCATGTCTGACAAAAGGAAGAGGGGTCCAAGAAGAGGAAGAGGGGGCATGAAGGTGAGACTACATGACATCCATAATCCTCCAGTTACCAAGCCACTCATCAGTGGGCCGGCACTTGATGTGAATTACAACAGCCTCCAGGGTCTTGCAGTGTATGTTGCCTGCCAACAGCTCCTAGGAGCTAGTCTAGAAATCACAAACCTGTGCCCCTGTTCTTTCCTCAGGCCTTATCCCTTCTCCCAGCCAAAAGGAGGAGACATGGCACTGGTCCAGCTCCACCAGTGACTCTCCTTACATTGGAGACACTAACAAGGGCAGATCTGCAGGGTTTACACAGCTTTGCACTGTAGAATAGAAACTGAACCTTTGACTCCTGAAGATATCTATCTTCAGACAATACAATTCTCACTCTGAAGATGAAAGGGCTGCTGAGGTGCCATTGATTATTTTGGAAATTATTTTCACTAAAGAATGCTGGTACCTCTCCCAGTCTGAATTAACAGCCCACCAGGGCTGGAGCCAGGAGTGTTCCTCTAATAACAGAACAATGATATTACTTCTTATTTCACTTATGCCACAAATCACACAGCTTGATAGTTTGGAAAAGAAAAGTTGCTGGTACCCATATTTCACTTTAGTGTGTATGAAGACATCCACTTCATCTGATTTGTAAGTACAATAGTAAGTGTGAATGCTCTGAGAAAAGCCAAATAATTGGTCATATTATACATAACAGCCAGCTCTAGGCCTTAAGCCTGAAGGTGAAAACATACACAAGGTACAGTTTCTTTCATGATATCAGGAAGCCTATATTGCTGGTTAACAACTTGGATTTTGTCATACTTTTTGAATAACCTCACTGACTACTTAATAAAACACTTCAGAGTAAGTAAAATAATAATAAAAAGTGCTTTCTGCTGTACCTTGTTAAAGTAAGTATTATTTCCTTCATGTGTTTAACCTATTCACTGATGTGTTTTGGCACTGATTCTGCTATGTAACATAATAGCATTTTTCAAAATAATACATTCAAACACCTTCCCCACTGCTTTTTTGTATAATTCCTACCCTCTTGCCCATACTGGCACTCTGTTGTGGTCACATTTGGCACAGAGAGCAGGGTGGTATTTTATTCCAGCCATCTGACACACCACGCTTGTTTTGGCCTGACATAAAAATATGTTTTCTTTTACCAAGTTCATGACAAAGATGTGCTCTGACTTATACAATTTTTGGCACAATCGGTTTATTGAGCTGAGGATAAATCACATGGTCAGTATCATTCTTAAGCAAGACATGCTCCAAGAAAAGGGCACTTTTGGGGTGTTTTCTAAAAACAGCCAGTCTCTGCTTCCACCACATGGCTGGATCCCTTTATATGGGAATGTTTCACTTGTAGCAGTCAAGGGCTTCATGAGCTGCATTGTCCCATGAGGATGTGAACACTGGAATGCTCTATGGATTTAAGCTCCGAGTAAGAGTCAATGAATACTCTTGTGCCAAAGAGGGACAAGGACACAAAAAAAACCTCAAAACCAACAAACCCAAAGGAGCTACTTGGTTTCTCTGATTGTCAAGTTCAGCTGGAGGTCCTTACACTAACTACTCAAGTCTTCGATAGAGGGGAAACAAAATTTTCAAAGAATTAATTTTCCAGATTAACATCATTCTGGCTTTGCTTCCACTGAGGTTCAATGAATTACTCCTCATTGAAACTCTCATTTCCTAAAAGTTGTCTGAAGCTTCAGTTTCTGAAACAGTAAGTGAATATATTCACTGAGCAAGGGACACGTAGCCAAACGTCCCTGCGACAAGGGAGTTCCTAATGTTGTACCCTCTCTTCCGGTCTCACAGATCTGTTGAAAAGCAAGACCACAAGATGGATCCCTGTGGGATATTCTCTTGGGGACCTTTGCAGTGAAAGACACCTAACAGCTATGGCTCATTTCTTTCTGTCCTTTGCTGAATACAAAAACCCAAACATGGCATGTAAAAGGCAGAGAAGTTTTGTCCAGAGAAGTTGTGGATGCCCCATCCCTGAAAGTTTTCAAGGCCAGGGTGGATGGGGCTCTGAGCAGCCTTGTCTAGTGGAAGGTGTCTCTGGCCATGGCAGGGGGGTTGGAACCAGATGATCTTTAAGGTCCCTTCCAACCCAAACCATTCTATGATTCTAGATTCTATGAAAATGGGAAATGCATGCAGAAGGCCCAACTTCTTTCAAAGGTCTAGATAGCTTAATATGAAAGGCTGTGAAATAAGTGGGGCTGAAGAACACCCCACACTTGACCAACAGAAATGAAGACAGCACAGCAATTCAGAAAGCAACCTGGGAGGATTCTTCACTTGGGTTCTACTGCACCCAACAAGGCACAGGATCAGGAGAAGGAAGATAACAGGTAACATTACTTTCAAGTATTCTTATGCCATCCCTCTCAAACTGTGGTTCCAAGGTGCCACTACATGAATGACAGAAATGAGGAGGCATTTTTGCTACTGCTGGGCTAAAAAATCACCATATTTGACCTTACGCTACAGTAGTAACTGCTGATTTTATTCTGGAGGCTTTTGGATCATGTGATCTGATGACACACTACAGTTTTGATGCCCATGGCTCTTCAGCTGGACTTTATGTCTCTCATGGTTTGGCTGAAAGGTATGGGTGCTTGTGCGTGTTTGTGTGTGTGTGAGCACGCAAGCATATGTATGCATATGTGTTACATCCACTTCATGTTGCGGGTTTCGGTTTGCAGGACTGCTGGTGGACAATCAGTCTGTCTGGAAGAAAAGTACGCCCACAAATATCACATGGAACTAGCTGGTTCTGGGCGCTGATCCAGGCAGCCTCATTTAAAGAATCAAGATCATAGAAACCTTTGGCTGGAAAATTAAAAAAAGAAAGTATCAGCTTTCATTCTGGAGACCCACATTCAACTCTTTATGGAAAATATTTTCAGGAAATACCTGTTGACTGAGCCTTTCAGTTTAACCAAACCATATTGCTTTTGCAAATGAAAAAGAAAGAAAAGAAAGAAGTAAAAGAGTAAAAAATATATTAAAAAGAATCTGCTTTTTGTCCCAGGGGTTGAATTAAATTAACTTCAAACTGAATCTTTTTGTATTGTATGAGAGTACAGAGAAAACATCATGCTGTGTGTAATGATATGCATTCTCAGCTAATTATTAACATCTTTGCACACATACTATTATCAGCAATTTTCACTTTTTGGCTTTACTTCAAGTTCTGTTTAATGAGCATGTGTTATCTGACCATGACAATGGGCGGGAGCATATCATACTTGAGAATATGCTCTTTGTACTGTTCTGGACAAGGGGCCCAATTTTCTTCGTGTTGAACTCTATGCAAGTTTTGCCAATAAGTGCAGTAAAGCTTAGGTAAGCCTAAAACCTTACAGACAAAACCTACAGTTCTTTTAAGCCACAACTTCCAGTGAGGTCATTGCACTGATGCATCTATTGTCATCTAAACACTAATCCAGTCTTACCCTCAGTTATTTTCCACTGCAGGAAGAGTGACTGCTCTGAAAGCTCAGGAGCATTCTTCAAACACTCACATCAGATGTATTTTCAAGATTTTATTTGGGTATAAAATGTTGAAATGGACTTTCATCTCTAAGTGGACTTTCACATAGTGGTGTTTCAAACCTATTTCCAAAAAGCCCAGGTAGGTTGCTTAATACCTGGACTTGGATCTTAAGAGTTTTCATTTCAAGTGCATGCAGAAAAAAATCTATGTGGCTCGATTTGAAGATGTATTTGCTTTGCCCTTCTCAAAAGGTATGACAATACAGAAAAAGACTAAAAAACTGTCTTTGAACTGTTAGCAGCAGACAATTTTTAAAAGAAAAGGATTTGTGCATTTAAAAATATTCCATGGTTTCTGTCATTGGCACATGATAGAGCTCTTCATTAAAGGCCCATACAGTTTTAATATGATTCATATCCAATGGTTCACATAACCACAATAAGCCTTAGATCTCTTAATATGCCTGTTCCTAATGTTCTTTTCGTTAGAAGAGCAACCAAGTAGTGTTTCTTTTCTTGGCTGAGACAAATATCCCCTTTGCTTGCAGGAAATGAATGTGTATTTTTTGTACTTTGGAAAGTTTATTGAATATAAAAAAAAGGAGAAAGAGAGATTACTTTCTCCTTGCAGGCATGTGTTAGGCATTCCACAAACAAAACACTGTGTAATCAGGGCAGCGGTTGTCTTCCCGTGACACTTGAGTTTTCAGAAAAAGATTTATGTAAGTTATAAAAAGTTTTATGTAAGCAGTTAATATTTCTGAGCTTTTTTTGAACATTGCCTGTTCCATTCAACAACGGGGTAATCCCTCCTCCCTAAGTTGAGAAACTGTGAGACATGCAGTACGTGTATGTGGTCTCAAGGTCAGTTATAGCATTTACCAGATGATGGAGAGTAAGTCTTACGGAAAAAGAACAACACTGAGATTCTTTTCTTGAGGCCAGGAGCATGAGGCAACTGCAGGGGGAACAACAATTTTAGCTCAAGCTACAAAACTGATCAGACTTGCATCAGCAGGCATTTAGGGACAGATGCTGGAAGCAGGTCAGTGTCCCCTGGGGAACCATGGGCACACAACACCTCATAGGAGATGCGTGGCGCCTGATATGACTCATTGCATAAATGAGACAATTTTCTGATTCATATCTGGGAGCCTTCTGCTGGATTGTTCTCTCAAAGTGTAGTTGTCTTTCTGCTTCCACTCCTTCAAAATAAGAATAACGTATTTCAAAATAACCTGATTTGTCCTTTTGTATCCTGCTCTTTCAGATGGAATTCTCATTTTCTTCATCTTTTTTACCACACAACATGTAATAATTAAAAAGAGCTTAACAAAAAGAGCAAATACAATGAAAATGTCCTTTGAACCTATCTTTTACTGCAGATTCAACTCTGCTGCTTGGCGTCTGTTAACCAAGTCCTGGTCTGATATTGTTTGAGCTGTGATTATTATTATTTTGAACAGCTGCTTAGTGTTCTCAATGATCCTGCTCTCTTCTGTGTGTGTCGTCTGGGGGCATATTTCTTTGTACTGCTGTAAACTGATCTAGTGTATGACTCTTTCACAGTGAGTTGTAGGAGAATTTGTCTACATTTCCAGACATTAGGGGAAGCTGCAGGAAATTATGGGAAATATAAAAAAAAAGTGGGTGAATTAACTGCCTGTGAGCAAGTGGTCCAAACTCGGCCCAAAGTAGCTCAGACCAGCTGGCAGGGCCAGGGAAAGCATCCAGCTGAAATGGTGAAATAACTTTATGTGGGAATGGGGAAGTCCTGGGAGCAGCTTCCAGCCAAAGCACAGGTAAAAGGTTTCCTTTTAGTTCTACAGTGAGCACACACCCCTGGGATACATATGGGAGCCCACTCTGTCGGGTGCTGGGGATCGTCAATTTTCATTCATTTGAAGAAGTGGCATCTAGGCATCTTACAAAACAGAACCCGCAGCACAAACACACATGATTGGCAGAAATAAAATGTTTATTTTATGCTACATATATTTTTTTTTTCCTATTGTGTTTATATTATAATGTCTCACAAAGAAAGCTTCTAAGGCTTGTAAATAAAAAGGGACCAATAACATCCACTGGATGTTCATTGTAGAAGATACTGCATTTTTATCTATAAATATATTTCAATAAAACCCTGAAACTATAGTACATGTTATAGGTAGGTTTTAAAAATACCTTATTTTCTACTGGTCATCATGCATCTAGTATTGTATTTCTTATTTTACCACAGAACTCCTATTTTCGAGGCCACTCACTGTTTACCACTGCTAAGTGCTAGGTCCAGGCTTTTTTTATAACCGACGCTATAGGTGTAAAAGCTGGCTGAAGTATCTATCCCTGTGTTGCCTGAAGGGGATTTTATGTTAATGACTGCATGCGTCAAGTCTGCACATTATTCTTGGATGGTTTTGCCCATTTTAAAATATGTCTTTCTACAGCACTGAAAGTAGTCAAAAGGTAGTGATGTAGCTATGAAGCAGGTTGCTAATCTTTTTGTGTTTTGATTCAAAACATACATAAAGAGGACTCTCCCAGGAGGCATGTCCCACAAGGCAATGACTACTCTTACTTCTCATGGATGAAGCACAAAAGGAGAACAGGATACTTAACAGAAAGCTTAAAACAAGCCATAATGGCTATCTTGTCTTCGGAGTAAAACAGAGAAAGAAGTACTTGCAAACCATTAAGCTACTGCTTAAAATTCCTTTTTTTCTCCCCTCGCACTTTTTTCCTTCCAGTTCCTCATTTGGTCTGTAGCTTACCTTGTATGGGACTGACTTCAGGCTTTTTGGGTTCTGGCCTTCTCAAGTGCTTGGGTAGCATGTCATTCTCCCGGTGCCATTTTTTCAGGCATTGTGGCTCATGGATACTAATAGATTTTGTTCCGTACTGACGGCCACATATGTAACAAATCACTGCTGGTGGCCATCTTATCACTTGTGCCTGCAAATAACAATTATGAAGAAGAATAAATATTGTTTTCAACATTAATTGTGAATCAGAACAACTTTTGATTAAAACAATCATGTAGATTAAGAAACTGATTCATATCTGTGAAATCAGTGTAACTGTTTCTATCAGTTTCAGCTTGTCTGGATTCAGTCTTGAAGCTTGTAAGAGATAGCGCCTCATTAGCTGGCCACCTGGAACAGGTAGGCTCCTTCTGCAGACACTGGGCTGAAAATTCATGTGTGTCACCTAATTAATACTTAGCTATGTAGGTTTTAGCTCTTTTATTTTCACACCATCAAGTTAATGGAAATGCTAAGTCTTCACATGCAGAAACAACTCCTCTGCTTGATCAGGTTGCTGCAGCACAGTGTCCATCTTAAATGTTGAAGCCCTTTTTTATCTACCAAACAGAAGTAACATGAAAAGCAGCAACAAAAGCTTCCTTAGCTGAACTGCTGATGTCTAGTGCAGTAGCAGAAAGACCCCATCTCCAGGCAGAACACAGTTAAAACGCTGTGTCCAGCCTTAAGCTGGACAGTAAGGGCAACTGTCTCAAACTTGTGATTGTGGTCCCTAACCCCACGTTACTTGTGCCACAGATCAGTTAGCTGGTGGAATTCTTGGCCTTGAAGGATTAAAACCGATCCAGGGTATTTCAGGATAGGGGGGCAAAATAGGAACTGTTGCTTGTTTATCCCAAAGGCCTCAGTGTGAACTTTGCCAGTGACTGCAGTGAGGGCAGAACTGGACTCTAAGCAAGTCATTGTTTCTGCACTGCAGATCTGCTTTTGTTCGCAGGGAAAAAAAGCTCAATGGAAGAAAAAAATCCCACAACCCCAAACGCCACAAATACATATTCTAAGCTTGAAAAATACATAATTACTGTGGTATTGCAGATTATGGACTTGACTGTGTCCTTAGGCACATCCTGGGCTAGGCGTGGTGTCAGTACCAGCCCTGCTCCAGAAGTAGTGTAAAAACGTACTGCAGAGACCGCACTTTGAGGCACACTGACGGGTTTCACAACTGCCAGCACTTCCTGCACTCCTAACTGCAGAATACCAGTAAGAGATGAGCTATTCCCTGCCCCCCTAAAGGTAGAGGGACAGCCATGCCAGACCAAACACGGGAAGCCTTTCTCACTCAAACAAGGGAGGTGGGAATTTCATTTTATCTTCTGCTGCTATGTAAGAAAAAGCGTAACCTGTTCCAGTATTTATGACTCTCTCTGTCAGCCCATCAGTGTATTCAAGAAATTCTGGGCAGCTCTTCTCACATTTATGCTACAGTCTGAAAATGTCATTAGTGAACAATCTGCATAAGCTTCTTTCCTGTATCACACATGTAAACTCAATTACATGAAGAAATACTACTCTACAACGTGTATTTTTGCTGGGAAAAGTTGGACTTCATCTGGAAAGTTCTCACAGTCAATTGAAATATAACTTATCCAAAGACAGTCTTTCCAAGGACATTTGCATCCTCTTAACTTTCAAATGGAATTTTCTTAGCCATTTACCTTATCTTCCTTTTCATAGCTGAATATAGCAACAGCTGTTTTAAGAATGCCCTCTAATTTTTCATTATCAATTTTCACCTACTTCCTTACTTCATCTCGAGCTTACTTACTTGAGCTAGGCCTTGTCTAATTTGGAGATAAGACTCTGGGTTCAGACACAGAGTCTTTTGAAGGCAGTGTATGTTTCTTTGTAGGCTCTGGAAAGCTTTAAGTAAGGATACTATGGTCTAAACTCTTGAGGTCAGGGGACTCATTTCAGTGTGCATGCTTGTTGTGGGTGTGCTTATAGCATGTTAAAAATGTTTTTTTTTAAAAAATGCTAGGTGTAAAAACACTGGGAACACATTTTCCTCTGTACTTTTCGTTAGCTAGGTTCCTGCCATTCAGTAAAATTTTGTTGGCTGAAAACTAGGAGAGAGCAATTTGATTTACATTCAGTTTGTAGACACTCTTTATACACAACCAGAATGGGAAAAGGAATTCTAGTACAAATGAAAATCACTCTTACTTAGCCTGTACTGTCACAATCATTTCCACCGTATGGGGCAATATAATAAAAACAAACGTATAGCTTCAAGGAGACTTAAAATCCTGATATGAGACAGGTGCAAAATCACTTAAAAATTAAATACTCCCAATAAAGTTAACAGATGCACAGAAATATCATTGTTAAAATAAAATAGTTTTTTATCTTAGAAATATTTCCCTAGTGAACGGAGATAGCTTTTTATCTCTGACTGCTTTGTTCAAATCCATTACACTTGTTCTAAAGTCATTGTGATGTCCTACTATTGAACAGCTGCCAGAGACCTGCAAGGCAAAAGTTAGTGATCACCATCCAGTGCAATCTGGATACATTTCCACAGTTCTGAGATGGTCTTTTTGATAGTCTCACCTGAAAACCTGAAGACTGAATGAGTAGTACTGTGATCTCTCCAGATCCTGGCAGAGTGTTTATAGGTGGGGTTTGTGTTGTGACTGAGCAAAACCAGGCCTGACCTAAATAGAGGATTCTGTTTTCCAAAGTTGTCAATTGGGATTGATTCATTACTAAATCCTATTTGGTGAAAAAAAGTTTAAGAAATCTATTCAAGTAGAAATTCTCTGTTTTGTAACTTCCACAGTTAAAAACTGTACAGAAACAATAGCAGAGACCAGAATTAATTAAAAGGAATCAGATCACTCTAAGGATGGAATTATTTTTTCCAGAAATGTCGTGAGTTTGAACCACCACCACCACACATCAAATTGTATACACAAACCCTTCTCTGCAAATATGCACATGTTTAAAAGCTGAAAAATAAAACCTGAAGGAGAATATCCTTACAATTGGTAGTAACAACTCTTTTGTTGCTTAACTGTGGAATCTGAGGTATGATAAGCTTTATTTGGAATTTCTACAGCTGATGATATTTATCCTTCATTTCTTTTTCTCTTCAGAGTGTGCCTATCCCACATGTCACATCTGGAGGCCTGCAGTTTGAAACTAAACTATTTTTGGAATCACCACAATTTTCCAACCCAAACTACTCACAGGCCAGTGGCTAACCCGTGCCTCTCTGCTCACTGCTTTGTTTTTCACTTTTTAAAAGGGTTGTAGGGAAGGTCTGTTCCTGAGGATATGTGTTATTATAAAAATACCTACAAATACCTAACAGTTCAGTTAGGCTTTCGTTTGGTGTCTCAGTATTTTCTCTTTTCTCCAAGACTGCTAAATATGTCTGCATGACCATGAATGAAGTTATTTAGCTCAGAGGGCTATGCAACTGTGTATTTTCAATAGACCTGACATTACTTGAGGTTAGCCCCAGGCTGCTGTTATGGTGTTACATGAGGTCAAATCCTCCCATACTGCACAAAACTTTTAATTTCTTCTTAAGTACACCCAATAAGACTGACTCCCAAACTCCCCTCCATAAATATTTATCATCCAGGACTGCACACCCCCCCGCCTTTCTTATTTGTTTAATTATCCATGTATTTTAATGGGAGGAGGGGAGGCCTCCTGCTCTAGGCCAGAGCTCTCATCATAGGCATGAATTGCCCAAGGAACAGAGGTTCAGGAAAAGATTGGTACAAACACTTAGCAACAGCACCATGTTGTTTGAAAGCAGCCCTTTCCACACATTTTTCATAAGGGACAGGGACAAGCTGTGGCTTGGCTCTCGTGACCATCCAAAGGTGCATTTCACAGCCTTCTGGAGTGCTTTCAGCCACTGCCCCAATACAACAGCAGACCAACATTAGTATTGGTCATATGCCTGTGTATGAAATTTCCTTGAACAACAAGGTAATTCTGCCAGATGATGCAGGTAGTTAAAGATTTTACTCCACTGGAAGTACTAGAATATCCCATTTTACTCCTGATGTGCTGTCTTTTAAAAGAAGTACATCAGTATAATGAACATGGCATTTGTGTAAAAGCAGAAAGGCAGGAAACTCAATCATTCCCAATGATAATAGTAAGTTCATTCGAACCAGCCATTCACTGTCCGTTCTCATCTAACTTTCCATATTTGCAAATATGTTTGTCAGCATTGTCCTAAGAAGATGTTCAAAACTGCTACCACGGAGGCAAAGTTTATCATTGACCTCCCACCTTCATTAGAATTGCACAGCATCTGAAGAAGTTTTCATTTTACCAAGTGACTAGATGAATTTATGCCAGAGGAAGATACAGCATCAACATTTTGTTGTTACACAACTTTTCAGGACTTATGCTGTGTTAAAATGCACTACAATACAGTAAAGGAAGATCACTGAAATCTTTTTAGGTAGTTAACTTGATAAGAAGAAAACAGCAGATGGCAGCACCAGATGCTAGTGACATGTCTGATAGACTTAGGATCAGCACTATCTGTTGTCAAAAGACCTGTAACACATATACCCACAGTAAGTCATTAATACTCACTTACATGTAGCAGACATTTTGGTCCATGAAAGAATAAAAAACACGCTCTGCTCTAGTGCAAGTCTGAATTTCAGTAGTTCCAGACATCACTTCCATTGTCTGGGGTATCACAGCAGAATCCAAACTAGGATTTCTGAGCTGATGTGATCCTTGAGAGTCTCTTAAGCATAGGCTGTTGTTTGTTTTACACAGTGAGACATGATTAATTCAGATGTGTTCATGTATTCCAAGAGCGAGGACAGTTAGTGGAAGAGATGGCTTACGAAAGCTGTTGAGTGTCCAGCTCTAAAGGCATTTAACACTGAACTGATAAGTGATTGTCAGTAATGATACTGCTCTATTTGATCCTGCACTTGGTAAGGGAGAGAGAGCTCCAGGACAGAAGCATGCAGGCAAAAGTGCTTGCAGTTGTAAAGTTAAAATATCCTTCACATGGTGTACCACCAAATCAGTTAGATCTTTATTTTCAAAATGAGGAAAACCCGGCTTTTTAATTTAGGACATCTTTCATTGCATAAATGAATTTGACAGTAGCATTGCATTTCTTAAATACACTTATATAAGGGTTTGGCTTTTTTTCAGGTATTCCTTCTCTCTGACGTTTTGCTGAATCATGATGTTAAACAGGTACTTAAATAATTCACTGTCACGGTGAGTAGGTCTGTTAAGTGCGACATGGACTGCCTCAAATGCTTTCCTGCCAGGATCAAAGCACATTGCCATTTCACCCCACTACTGGTATTTTTTAATAGAATTAAAAAGCAGCTGAGTAGCTGGTAAGGTGAGCAAAATTAAAACCATATGCTAGAAAAAGAAGAGGAGACCCAGACCTTGTCCCTTTTTGTAGCGAATCTGCAGTCCTTCTGTTAGCTTATTGCTTTTCAACATCCTTCAATGTGTGGACTTTTCAAAACTTTCAACTGGAGGTGGAGACCCTCACAAAGAGAATTTAAACCTATGAAAAAGAGGCTTCCTTTGACCACTTCTTAGAAGCAGTCTGCCAATTCTGAACAGCCCTTCCTATCTCTGCCTTTAATGCGTACCTCTGTACAAAAGGACAGATCTGAAAATAATAAAATAAAGGACCTCAGAGAGGTAAAATCCATCTATCCCTTCCCTGGAAGTCATCATTAATAACAAAGTCCTTCAGAGTCAATTACAAACTGCAAGCTGTACAGCCTCATTAGTTTTGCTGCAACTGATGAACTGTAACTGCTTGGAAGTAAATGAGGAAACCAGTTGTTCACACAGAAGGAAGAACAGGTTCGAACACATTTCATTCTGGTTCTGCAGAGGTCACAGAAGTAAAAAGTGGTAATAATGTTGTTCAACAAGTCAGCAGATGAGACTGAATCCACACAGAGAGCAGATATGTTGTGCAAGAGAGCAACATTTTTATAGAGTCACTCTCAATGCCAAACCACACTCTAAACTTGTTTTTTTATGACATTATAACTATGGACATTTCTGCCCCCCTCTTTTTTTTTTAAAAACATACAGAATTATGTGTGATAGACAAAAGTCTGCTTCACACCCATGCCTTCCATTGAACAATCACCTTCAGAGCAATGCCAGTTCTTTGGTAAATGGTACAATGTATTGTAACACAACAAGAACATCTTCTCTCTGATAGCTATAGATGCACCTGTGCAGCACTTTGTACTGTTTGTGGGTTATTTGAAATTTGCTGATAAAAGACCTGAGTGGACCTAATTTGCCAATATCTATCAATTAGTGGCCTTAAATAGCATAACATAAAAATGTCTCACATTGTCTTTATTCTCATGTTTGTTAGGGTAATGCTATTATGTCCATTTTATTCAGCAGCTGGAAAACTGAAATACAGCTTGCTTTGACTTTTAAAACATTTTTAGAAATGCTCTGCATAGCATTGCATTCCTTTGGTGACTGAGAAAGCTAAATCCCATTTTCCAATGTAACATAGGCAACCAGGAGTCCAACTCCCACTAAAAAAAAAAGCGCCTTTTATTTTAGACACTGGGCCTAAATTTAGACATCTATCTTTTTACAAAACTCCTGGCCAACAGACAGCTTGTGCAGAAGCAAATGCTGAAAAAAGATGCCATTTTCCAAAACTTTGTGTAGCTTTTGGATAATGTGAATCAGCTTCCTTATTCTTGGATCTTGAATCAAATTCAGTGGAATGAAATGTGCAGTCTTGTTTATTTTGTTGTTGTTATACTCTGAGTTGCTGCCTTTGAACATGCAGTCCTCAGTAAACTCAAGTTCTACGCCAAGGTTAAGAATAATGGTAAAAAATGAAAATCACTGGAGTGCTTACAGAATAATGAAACATTGTATTTCATGTTAAGTAAATAAAAAAATCCTAATACCTACTAAAACATACAACATTCAAAGCTTGCCTAAGCTGCTCAACAGAATCTCCTAGGGAACTATAGCACACAATGGTCTTTTTTGGGGACATAACTCTCACAGGACTACAGAGTATGAGAAGACAACTACTCCCTTTCCACAGCAAAATCAAAAGAAATAAGAAGTAGTTTCTCACACAGTATTCCACTTTCCTTTACCTACTATTCAGCAGAGAAACACTTGCATGGAGCCAAAAGATCCTTCTGAAGGAAAGTGATTTTAAATTTGATGGGAACCCAGTCTCCCCTGGCATGCCTACCTTCAAAATGCATCCACACCCTTTCATAGAACACATATTTAGCAATTTACCTTGTCTAATACGGCTGGTGCAGCTCTGCTCTTTCCTTGACGGGTCTTAGATGGATCATCACTTGCTGAGCCAGACCCAGAGCTTGGGCCTTTACCAGATTTACGGGGGCTAGAGCTTGACAGCCCCACACCGCTGCCACCTCCCCTGCAACACTTCTGGTGCACAGTGAGACAAGCAGGAAGGAAGGTTCGGCCACAGTTTCCACAGGGCAGGAGCTGGGCTTGAGCACTATCATAAGCTGCCTCATTTTCAGCTGTAAGCATACAGGAACTACTAGTAAGGGCCTCAGGTTTCCTGGGCTCTGCTCTTCTGAGATGCCTTGGTAGCTGATTGTTTTCAGTATGCCACTTCTCTAGGCACTGGGGTTCATGTATAGAAATAGACTGTGACCCAAATTCTCTGCCACAGATATAGCATACCCTGAAGCAAGGTCTTCTTGGTGGAATGACGGGACGATTCAGTGGCATCCGAGACATGTTTGAAGAATCTGACTGTTTTGATATTATTGCAGTGCCTGGTCGCCTTTTTGGGGGTCCAGCTTCTTGATGTGCTACGTCGGGCAAAATTCTGGGAAGATCTGACACGTTAGATGATGAAACCTGCTCTGAAGGCAAGATAGTAGAGACACTAGCAGAGGCCTCTCCAGCACTTGGCAGAGCATTACAGGCTTTGTTCACATTCTTCTTCTTGACGTTTGTTTCCATGAAGGGTAGAACATTTCAAGAAACTTTTCTCTCTTCTACACATAAAGGGCTTGGGAAAGTCTGTTATTCAGCACAAGGCTCCATCTTCTTAATTCAGTTTCATGGGTGGAATACACTAGGGACTTCAAAGCTGGAAAACTGCACCCAAAGGACATTTTTTCTGTGTGTTTTTGTTTTTCCTTTTGGTTTTACATGATCCTGAAACAAATTAAATCAGTACATATTAATAGACACCATCTCTCTTGTTAAGGTTACCAACCAGTGGTTTATCACAAGGATCAGTTTACCTTACTATGTTATATTTTTAAATAACAGAAAAATAACATCAACTATACCCTACCTCTAATGATCAGCTGAACAAAGTAAATCTGAACTTTTAGTCTCAGATGGTGTAAAGTCATGAAGGACATGAAGAAGATGGGTTTGCACAAACTGAAGCTGTTGAAATACATGTGGTTTTGAGTATAATCAATATGCTTTACTTTCAGTTATTGACAGAACAGGTATTTCTCACACATTTCTGCCATTTATGTTGATAGCCAAACATAATTTCCTTGCCTCAAGAGAAATGAAAATAAGTCCCTTAGTAGAGGGATGTTAATGTCCAATCTCCAAAGGGACAGTCAGCAAGGAAAATGTTCCCAGTCTGTAGGTTGAAGGAAATGATTAGGCCCCTTTACTCAGCACTTGTGAGGTGGTATCTCAAATTCTCTGACCAGTCTTGATTCTCCCAGTATAGGAGAGATATTAATAAAATGGAGCAAGTTTATCAATAAGGGCTACTGAGATGTTTTGGGGGCTGAAGCACATGCCATATGAGAAGAAGCTAAGGGCACTGTGTTTGTTTAGTCTCAAGAAGACAGTACTAAACATATTTCAGTTTTTCAATTTGCAGTCTATCCCTGTATACAGACAACTTTGTGTTGTATCACTTAAATATTCATTTCTTGCAGAGACAATCTTTTGTGCTGGTCCTCCAAGGGGCAGAAAATAAAATTCAGACTGTAACCATGTTACGGTAGAGGCTATTATTTTATTGCAAGAATACAAAATAACTAGCAGGCTAGCTTTAGTCATAAGCAAGCAAGAGGTTGCATAGACAGGTGACTGTCAAGGAGAGCAAAGTCACCATTGTCTACTTTATCTATAATAGAAGAAACAGCTGATTATTGCTTATTTTTCCAGCAAGGATAGGGTCAAAGTGTAATGGCCACTGCTCTGGGGTTGGCAGCTCTTCCTTTGACTTAAAAGTCACCTTGCCCTTACCAAATATTCCAAACTTTATCTCAACCCTTCCAAAATTTCAGGGGGTTCCTAACTCCCAAACTCGTCTACCCAGAGATCCCACTGACCCATCTCAGGTCACTTTCTCTGCTGCCACCAACCAATCTGCGTCTGCTCTGAACTGCTCTTTTGTCATGTCACCATGGGAGACTTTGCTCCCAATCAACAGCCTTTTCACCCTTATCAGTCCCACCTCTGAACCCAGGGGCTGAATATAACTACACCCAAGGGCAAGGACACAATTTTGCCATTACCCTTGAGATGACAAACTTAAACTTTGCCTGTGCCACTGAGAAGCACTAAGCTGATTCTAGTCTCTCATAAATATTCTAGGTCATAAGTCAAGAACATGGGCAACAGTGAAAAAACAAGTTGTCACCAGGTTCACATGATTAGTCGTTCTCTTGCCAGGCACACAAAGATATTTAGATTGCTGCATTCACACTGCTTGCTTAAATATTCACAAAGTTGCATTTTCCAGGGACACATGTGACACTTTCTCATTTTACAAAATCTTCTGTGAAGCTCAGGTTTGTTTGTACACAAATTGGAAGATGTGAAGACCATCAGAGCCAATCTGTGATTTGTACGGGAACAAATCTCTGTGAACAAGTATATTGCAGTTAGCTGTTAAAAACAAAATTCTTAAGGGACATTATACTTAGCACTCAAGGTTACCACCTCCTCTAAAACTCTATTAGATAACTGCAGTTTGTGGAAAAACTACAAGGCTGTAGCATCCTCTCGTGTCTGAAGCTATTGTCTAAGCATATAATGTGTGTTAAAGGATAGACAAAACTGTAGCACTGGAATTTTTGTTTCAGATATCAAAAAACGTTTTTTTTGTCTGACTCCTACACAATGTATAATTGTGAAATATCCAGTGGAAAAGCATACAACAAACTAACAAAGAAACAAAGGTTACAAGCAGTTTGGACGGTAGCAATTAATAACACTTGGGGAGCTAGCTGGCTTCAAACTGGTGCTATCCCACTTTAAAGAAATAATGTTTGCCCTCACTAGCTGTGTTCCCTTAATGCAAAAAACTTCGCTAACTGTGTAGAAAGTATTACAAAAGCTATTTGTGCAACAAATCCCACAGCCTTTCCCTTGTTTTCATTTTAGAAGGCCTAATTTTTCTGATCTTGACTTTACAGAAGGCTGATAATTTTGTACCACAATTTGCCACTTCAGGATTTTGCTAATTTTGTCCAGGTCATGCACATGATTCAGTTAGGTGAATGGTTCAACAGTATGTGAAATTTAAATTTGCAAACTAGCATTGAGGCTACTCTACTGCAAGGCCCTTTCAAAGACTGGGAGAGTTTCCAAGGAGGGTGGCCTGTTGGATGAATCCAAGTTGGGAAGTAGCCAAGCTCTTTAGGAGGATGAAGGGAATGGAGAGACAGGGAAACATTAAAGGGTCATGAAGGCAGGGGAGATAAGGGTTATTGGGGGGTCACAGGAAGGGAGCATCAGAAAGTTCAGCTACATTTCAGGGAACTTCTGAACTTTGCAAGGTCCTATTTATGTCCTATTTAGTGATTTATGTCAGAACGATACTTTCTGCTACCTGAGAGAATTCTTAAAGCAACAGTGGGCACCGACCTGCCTGCCACATGAATAATGTTAGGTGACTAATCTGTTACTGCTAAGAATGAATCAGTCAATAAAAGATGCTATAAACAACCTATTAACAATATAACCTATTGTTGGATTTCCAAGCTTGCTATTGTAAATACTTCATAAGAGAATTATGCTTCCTTGTGGGGATTACACCATTTGGTCTACATTTATTCCTGCCAAGTTGACCTTTATTGTTTGGAAACTTCCTATAAATTCAGTGTGAAATGAAAAGGCATATAAGCAGTTCAAATCTTCTCTTCTCAAGCTCAGTAATAAAGATGTGGAAGTAAATCAGGATTGGGATTTAATATTTCTTTTCAAAACATAAAACTTTCTTACTTTTTTCTTTTAAAAATCTTGCAACATCTTATAATAAAGTGGGAAGGTATGGTTAATCACTGCATATAACTGTAGGAAAACATTCCTCTCCTCTGCAGTTCCACTGAGTACAATATTTAAAAACCAATCTCATGAACTGCAGTGACAGGGCACTTGCAACTAATGGATGAGTTCAATGTAATTAAAAGCAAGTGAAATACTATGGCCAGTTGAGCATCAGGCTGAGAGCTGCACTTTATCTAAAATAGAACAGAATTACAAGAGTGAAAACAGCTCAGTACATCGCTCATCTTCTTGTCCTGAAGAGGGATCTGGAACCCTTGCACAGTCTTTTAAGCTTATCCTAACCAGAAATTGCAACAATAGCATTATTATCCATGCTTCAGTAATGATGCCTTCTCTTAGCTGCCTTGTGTGATTCAGCCTATACAGGCAAGTGGAAACTTCTTCCCTAAAATGGCCTTCTTTATGTCTTCTTTCATGTCAGTGTTGGAACTTGGAAGCAAAGTTGACACATACGTTTCCTATTTCCTGTATGCAGCCAGTTTCTGAAGAGTGACCCTCTCTGTTTTTCATCTCTCTTGATTCTCTCATGTAAACAATTCCTCAAAACCCATTATAAGGTCATTTTATAAGCCTGGATTCCTTGACTGAACTGAACAAAACATACTTGCGCTAGCTGGGGGATTAAATTGGCTGTTTCCAATGAATCTTCAACACTACTGCTTTTGACTTAGCTAGAATTCCACACGGAGACCTCCCAGCTGAAAAAAACAGAGTTTACCTTGTGGAAGAACACATTGCATGAAGCCTGCTGCTGCCAGGACACAACCATGCTTATTCAATGGACAAAATACAGGAACAGTTGTGACAATTTGGGGAATCAGTTTATGTACAGTTTATGAACACTGACTGATATCACAGCCTCTCCATGTGCAGTTGTATCAGACTGTAAACTCCATTTAAACTATATGGCTGGCTTACTGTCACTGTTCCCATCTGCCAGCAGAGAAAGGGACAAGATAAATCCTTGCATGAGATAAACACAGAGCTAAAACAAAGCTCACAGAGCTTTCAAGCTTATACAACTCAAAGAAATACCCCTTGGACATGCTTGACTCCCTCTAAAGGCAGAGACAATTTTCACATCTGGATTTAGGAGGGAGGACCATAAACAAGCAAAATAAACAGTGGGAACAACTGATTCCTTTACTATTTTTAAAACAGTGCTTGATAAAGATATGAAAAGGATTTATATGAGTACTTGCTTGAGGTGGCAGTGGCGTACATCCAGGAAGCTCTTTGGAGAGGTCATCTATAATTGAAGAGTGCTTACAAAATCAGGACTCGCATAACAGTTATGAGAATGTCTGCGTGGGTTGCTCTGCCTGAGGAAGTGTATGACAGGCCACAGAGGTACATTAAATGAAAGGGGAAACATATGGCTCCAAAATGGTGGCATCCAAATACGACAACAGCCTCGTGGAAGCCTCGCTATGGATCAGGCTGTCAGTGTCAAAAAAGAATAAACTAATTTTAGCTTGCAAAAAGATACTGGTTAATCCAGTATCTCAGATTCCAGAGTTCCTGGCTGTGTAAGCCCTTATTTATGCAAACCCCCACTTCACTGTGAGAATTTTTCCCTTTGTTTGCTTTCAATACTGCACTCAATGTTGCATACTCATTCTGCCTGTTCATCACTCAGGGCTTGAAGTCATAAGCTTTCTGTTTGTGACATCACAGTTGTTGTT